GGTAGAATCTCCACTGAGTAGTATCCAGTCTGTCTGGTTGGGGCTGATGAAAGAAGATGGGGATAGGACTCTTGTGGTACAATACTGAATGATTGCTATGAGGACTTACTGTGAGAGTTAGAAATGCAAAGGTAGACATTTTGCTGCAAAAGGAGGGGCGTGATTGACTTTTCAATCCAAGAGCGGAGGTCCCTGGGACCATCAAGGGAGAAAAGTGGAATGCGGGACCCTACCCAGAGAAGCAGTGACACCAGAGATGAAGGCAGAGACAGTGATGTGGAGAGATGGAGTGGCTGGGGACTCTAGACCCAGACAGGGAGAGGGGCTGTGTGCTGACAACTGAGGGGCAGACTTGCAGGGTGTACCCTTTGTTTGTTTGATGATGCATGGAGGGGATTGTAATAATGACAACGAAACAATATACAACAGGGTGAATGTAAAGTTAATGTTCTCCCATGTAAACTATCACATAATTCAGAATAAAAACTTGTAAACTATTACATAATTCACAATAAAAACTTAAAAAAAAAATCATGCAAGAAAATCAAGTGTGGCAAGCTGCATAGAGTTTGGTCCATCAATATGAACTATGTAGGTAGTAGACTTCAGAGGTCAATAGTAAGAGCTGGCCCGTTAAAATAAGAGTGTTGGCCTTGGAGTCGGACAGGACATGAACATGGGCTTGGATATGGCAGAAGAGCTAAGATAGGGGCAGATGAAGCTGAAATTTGAAGGTCAGGCTGGTTTTCCCAGAGCCAAATGGTTTATTTTATTCCTAACTAAAAACAAGGGCAATTTCTATGTAATTTGTTTGGGGGTGTTGGAATCTAAACTTCTGCTTCAGTATGCAAGCATTTCTCCTAGCCTTAAATTAGATGTGTCGTGTTTTATACAGAAATGAAAGTAAATGGAATCTTTCTTGGTTTAAATTTCTGTTTCTCAAATAGGGATAAGCTGATATGTTTTTATTGCTAAACATTTGAGAATTTAAAAGTTAAAATATGTAAACTATTTTTATATTATACCTTGGTGCATGAAATGCCTTTAAATACAAACTTCCCCAAATTTATTTTCCAGCGTTATTTTCATGGTTTAGTTTAGATCCAAGAAAACCAGATGCTTTCATGAGGACTGCTTCCTCATTTGAAGGCCGTGAAAATCACAAATTTTCTTTTTCATTTTAAGTTGAGAGGAAATACTGGCAGTTTGTTTGGGGAGGGGGATAAGAATCTTGGAAAAGAAATGACTTACTCAGTGGCCATTCATATTTTTGGCTGCTGTGTGATGTGCAGTTGGCTATATAGCACAAATCTTTAGTAAATAAATTTGAAGTGTTGACTCCTTTCCTAAAAAAGGGTTTTCTAAGTAAATATACCATTTAATTACATATGAGAATTTTATCCTATTTAAAACAATAATTATCACTTAAATAGAAAGGATCTTGGTGGTGCTGCGGGTTAAGCATTTTTGGATTGCTAACCCTATCTAAGATGGCTATTCAAGATAAGACTACTTGTTCCCATAAATATATACAGTATCAGAAACCCTACATAGGGTCAATATGAGTTGGAATTGATTTGCTGGAAATGAATTTGGGGTGGTATGTAATGTGGCGAAGGAGCTCTGTTAGTTAAGTGGTTAATGTGCTTGGCTGCTAACCAAAAGGTTGGCACTTTGAACCCACAAGCTGTTCCATGGGAGAAAGATGGGCCATCTGCTTCCATAACGATTTGCAGCCTTCGAAACTATGGGGCAGTTTCATTTTGTCCTGTTGGGTCTCTGGCATGGTGCTGTAGGTTAATTTGCTGGACTGCAAAGTCAGTTTGAACCACACGGTTGGTGGTTCAAGCTCACCAGCTGCTCCTTGGAAATGCTGTATAGGATCGCTGTGGGTCGGAACTGACTCAACAGCACTTAGCAACAATACAGAGTCTCTACTGAGTCAGAAACAACTTGATGGCAGTGGGTACTGGGGTTGGGATGGAGGCAGATGCCAGCCATACTAGAGGCAGTATCGTTGATGCGGTGAAAAAATGTGAAACTGGTTGCTATAGATTAGGAAGTAAGCACAAGTAAGTCTTACTGGGTAAGCTGAGACTGAATACTAATAAATTGAGGCTCAAAATAGAAAATACATTTACTGTAGTTGAGAGAAATGAAGAAGAACAGATTTGTTTTCTTAGTAAATTGATACATAATTTTATCCAGGTAATCTTTAAATCAAAATGTCGTATGTATACTATTTTGTTTTGCTATAGATGTGATCTTCTAATTCATAAAAAATACATAGTAAAACTGTAACAACCAGAAAGAAAAGTTGGTGGTTCTGGGATACAGGATGCCTAGATAATATAGTGTTATGACTATCTTCCTGAAAGGATACTAACATGTTGCTATGTTTAGAATCCAGTTATACAACCAACTGGCTTTCAAGTCAAACACTAGTCAAGGAAATACTATGACTTTAACGAACGGGAAAAGACATCCAGCCAGATTTCTCACAGCTGTGTTTCTCTCCTCTGTGGCCTTCAACAACTTCAATGGAAGTTTAATGTGTTTAGGAAGAAAGATGGCCAGAAGAATTAAAATTATTAAACCAAAAAGGTCAATCTTCAAATTAAGTCTTGGATCAGATTCAGCGCTGAATAAAGTTTCTCCCTTATATGCCCTGTGCTTCAAGCAATATGGACGACCAGTCACACACAACTCAAATGCGGCTGATAGCACACAAAACTGAGGTTACTCTGGTCAAAGAGGGGAAAGAAGAAAAAGCAGTTTCTGGTTTTGAAAGGTGTAAAATAAGCTATTAGTGTTTTCTTAACATTCCTTTGAATTTCCAATTCAAGTTTAAGGTGACTGCAAGAGATAGGAAAAATCCGCAGAGATGACAGGTCCTTGGATTTAATACCATATAAACAGAGGGCCAAGGAATTTTGACAAAACTGTTGCTCACAAAAAGTTGCCCTTGTCTTTGAAGTTTTTGTGTGTTCCATATTTAAAGTCAAACACCTTCATTCATCCAACAGTAGCATTGGGCATTTAATAGAATGATATAATAGTTTTATTTACGTTTCAGATTTAAAAAGGTCTTTCATAAGATAGCTCTCTATTTAGATATAAAATCATCAGATATGTTCCCAAGGATTTTCCAAGTACATCATATGAGTTCCTTTAAACTTTCAGGTCTCACTGACCTTGATGTACTTTTTTTTTTTTTTAATGACCACAGATTCTATAATAATAGATTTCACCAGTTTCTGCTAAGCAGAAGGAACTGCCGAACATTCCTACTAATTCATAAAGGAAAATCTATTTAAATTCCTTTTATCCTTACGTTTTCCACCACTCGTCTGTCAGTTTGTCATACTGTGCTTGCTTGGGTATTGGTGTGATTCTGGAAGCTTTGCCACCAGTATCTTAAATATGAGGAGGGTCACCCATGGTGGGCAGGTTTCAGCTGCGCTTCCAGACTAAGACAGACTAGGAAGAAAGAGAGACAGACTACTTTGGAATATTTAGCCACTGAAAACCTTACAAATAGCAGTAGAACACTGTGTTGTTGTTGTTGTTCTGTGCCACAGAGTTGGTTCCGACTCATAGCAATCCTCTACAGGGTTTCCAAGGTTGTAAAACTTGACGGGAGCTGAAAGCCTCATCTTTCTTCTGTGGAACAGCTGGTAGTTTTGAACTGCTGACCGTGAGATTAGCAGCCCAATTCGTAACCACTATGCTACCAGAGCTCCTTAATGGAACACTGTAGCACCAGACTACTGAATACTGAAACATGATGAAGAGTACTAGAATACGATGAGATCCAGTGCTAGAAGATGAACTTCTCAGGGGAAGGCATTCAAAATATGACTGGGGAAGAGCTACCTCCTCAAAGTAGAGTTGACCGTGATGATGCAAATGGAGTAAAGCTGTCAGGTCCTTCATTTGCTGTTGGAGCACAATTCAAAATGAGGAAAATAGCTGTAAACATCCATTAATAACCGGAACATGGAATGTACAAAGTATAAATCTAGGAAAATAGGAAGTTGTCAAAAATAAAATGGAACCCCAAAACATTGATATCCTAGGCATTAGTGAGCTGATATGGACTCATATTGACCATTTTGAATCTCACAATCACATGGTTTACTATGCTGGGAGTGACAAATTGAAGAGGAATGGTGTGACAGTCATCATCAAAAAGAACATTTTAAGATCTATCTTGAAGTACAACACACTGTCTGCGATAAGATACTCCTACAAGAAATATAACAAGCAAGTCTACTTTGACAAACACAAACTGTGATACACAATTACAAAGGCATTGTTTTATTGTCCTTTTCTCTGTGCAGAATCTTTCCACTGCGGCATTCAATTCCTGGATGTGTCTCATTATTTAGCATTTAATATAAATCTTTCTCCATAGCTAAATCAGTAGGTAAAGGGTCTACATTCTTAAATGCACTTGGATGTTGAGGAAAGCTGGGATGGTGTCAATAGACAGATAGAAGCAAATTGCACCTGGATTCCTGCAGACTGAATCTTGTGGACATAGGAGTTTGGGATTATGATTTTGGTCCAGGATATGACTGAAATGATCACAGTGGGGTATTTAGCCACAAAAAGACAAATAAATAAATTGTGCTATGAACTCTTTATAGTGCATTACAATTCAGGGATCATTTCTAAAGTCTTTATTGATATTAAAAATGGATGATTAGAAATAATTTTAAGATGTTGCACTTAGTAACAAACACACTTCTTATATGATGGATGGAACAACCCTGAGCACTTATAAAGTAGACTGTCTAATACTATATATGCATATCTCCATGACATGTTATAACACATGATAATTTATTAAGGAGAAAACATTTTTTTTTTAAATCAATTTTATATAAATGCTCCCTGAATCTAAAGTGCTGGCAACTTTTGCCTCCAGGGGAACTAATTTTCCTCCTCTTACCCAGCCATTTTTTAAAGACCTCAACTACAACTCCAAATTTTGGTCAAGAAAATGGGTTCTGGCCACACCTGAAAAAGAAAAATACAAAGGGAAAAATATGACTCTTTCTTAGTGGTATAAGTTGCCAATAAGCTAGATGCATGCCATTCAGCCAATATCATTTGGGTTGGTTTAACATAAATCATTCATAAAGACCAACCATTTGTTACTTTACTTAATGTTTGGTAATTCTGAAGCTCCAAGCATATCTTCTGCATAACTTGGGCCAAAGTTAGGAAGAATAGACTTGCTATCGTTTTAAAACACTCATGTAAGTCAACTAATTACATTTTGCTATTTTTGTTGTCAGATTGTTCCTTTTTGGACTGCGGTCTTTTCTCATTCATAGTTAAACTTGTGGGGTCTTCCTTGATTGAAGTTGAATCCAAAGAAACAGTTCTTTTGGCAACTGCTGGTGAGATAAGAAGAAAGACAAAAATAAACAGAGGTGAAAATATACCCTGGACTCAAAAAAAAAAATTGTTTTAAAAAACTGAAGATAATTAAATATACTATTTATCTAGTTTTCTGTAATAAAATGTTATATAGACTAGTAGACCTTCAATGCAGGAATAAACATAAGCAGTGTATTGTATTGTCAAAAACAAATTTAAAAATGTTTTAAAGACTTTGTAAGAGTTGAAGATGTGTGCTTGATGTTGTTGTTGTTAGGTGTCATTGAGTTGGTACCGACTCACAGCGACCTTATGCACAGCAGAACGAAACAGTGCCCGATCCTGGGTCAGCCTCACTATTGTTGCCACATTTGAGTCCATCAATGCGTATGTTTAGTCAGAACAAAATGATATAAACTACATACATGTTCACACACAGGAGAGATCTCAAGGGCTCCTTTTTCACAGAATATTCTGTGTTATACAAAAGGAAAAGTCCTGGTGTGGTACTGCAGGATAAGCACTGGACCATAATGTCGGCAGTTCGAATTCACCAGCTGCTTCTTGGAAATCCTATTCAGGTTGCTATGAGTTGGAATCGACTTGACAGCACTTAACAACAACAAAATAAAAAATGAAACTGAGGCTAGATCTGGACTTTAGGTGTTCTCTTCTTTCTGCTACCTTTTACTTCTCAAAGTCTAAATGCTTTTATCTAACTGCTGACAAGAAATCTTCCTTCCTGATTTTGACTCTCTAAAGTCTTTTCATCTCTCTGATTTCTCTGTCTCCATCTTACCTGATCCACTAACCAGTTTAAGAGTAAATTCTGATGCTTCCATCTCCCAAATTCACCTGAGGCCTTCTGTTTCTCACCACTCCTCCATTACCCTCATCCTGGCCCAAGCCACCATTTTATCTCTTCCTGTTTTCATTCTTGTCACCTTATGATCTCTTCTGCACATAACTGCCAGAATTATCTTTTTTGTAGGGAGTCTTGGTGTGACACTGTGCGTTAATGTGCCAGATTGCAAAGTTGGTTTGAACTGCAAGGTCAGCGGTTCAAGTTCACCAGTCGCTCAGCAGAAACTCTGTACAGGGTTCGCTATGAGTAGGATCGGACTTGGTGGCACATAACAATAACAACAACCCCTCTGATGGAGTCCTGGTGTGGTGCTGTGGGAAAATGCACTGGACCACAAGGCAGTTTGACCCTCAAGGTCAGCAGGTCAAACTCACCAGCTGCTCCTCGGAAACCCTATACAGGGTCGCTATGAGTCATAACCAACTCAAAGGCACTTCACGATGAGAACAACAAATTCCTGTGATTGGGGATGTGATGGCGCCACACCATAAACACTGACTGCGAATCGCAAGGTTGGAGGTTCGAGTCCATTAGGCGGTTCAAGTCCACTAGCTGCTCCACAGGAGAAAGATGAGACATTCTGCGCCCTCTAAAATTTAAAGCCTGGAAAACCCTATTATACAGAGTCGTCGTGAGCTGAAACAGAATCAATAGCACTTAACAACAACAACAACCCCTATGAATATGGCTACCCCTGCTCTCCATTTCCTTCTTGTGAACTCAGAATAAAACCTGAACGTCTGAATGTGGCTGAAAAGACTCCACTCAGACCTGCCTCCCACCACTCATCCCGCACTCACTCATTGATGTTTTTTTTGTCTCTCAGGGCTTTTGCATGTACTGCTTCTTCCATCAGAAAGACTTTTCCCATCCAGCTTTAATTTGGCAGGTTCTCCTCATCATTCAGGTTTCAGTTCAATTGTAACCACCTCACTTTCTTCCCCACCCCTCTTACCCATCCAGGTCTCCTGTACCATTTCACCTATCACTAATTGAAATGATTGGATTTGGGGGTTTCTTGGATTACTATCTGCTTCTTCTGCAAGTTAAGGTGAGTAATCTGTGTTGTTTACTACTGTACCCTACCCCAGAGCCTTGTATAGAGGATCTTAATAAATAGTGGGTATATTTGAGAGATTTTTAAGAGGCAGCTAACTGTTTGCTAAACAGTATCTAGAGAGTTATCTTGTCAAATTGCAATAACCAGAACTCAATTTTTAAATATCTGGCACTTAATTGGCCAGCTAAAAAAAGTCCTGAAACATTGTAACATAAAATAAGACTATAAAATGAGAGAGACAGAAAGACTGTGCTTTCATAGAATAAATAAATTCTTTAGTGGAGAGAAAGCAATGTTCTTACCTTTATTAGTCCTCCAATGTTTTAAATGCCATGGATCTGTGGTATTTTATTCTACTAGTTTGAGGATAAACTACATATCAGTGTCTAATCACAGTTAGGTGGGTGGGGCTTGAAGTACAGCACGGAACTGAAAATAGTGTTATTCTTGGTATGGATAAATTATTTTTCAACCGAGGATCTTAAACCTGCATTAAAGGTGCCTCAAAGGAGTTCTGGTGCGGCGCTGTATGGTCAGCACTGGACTGCGAACTACAAGTTTGGCAGTTCAAACCCATCAGCTGCTTCTGGGAAATCATCTACAGGGTCGTCACTACGAGTCAGAAACAATTCTACCACACTAAACAATGACAACAAAGGCGTCTCAAAAGACAAACTGAGAATTTAAACTTTTCTTTTTACAGCAATGTAAACTGAGATTAGGACGTGAAATACAAAGTTGTTTCTGTATCGTTATATGGATTTGCTTTTCTAAAATCTTTGCATTATATTCATAGGTAAGATTCACTTGTCAAATTCCTGGAGTAATCCTTAGATAACATTTTCTCCTCATGAAAAAAAAAAAAAAAACAGTCCTTTCTTTTGGGAATAACTAAAAAATAAAAATAAATAAATAAAAAACTTTCGTTTTTAGAATAGTTTCAGATTTATAGAAAAATTATAATTTTGTGTTTATTTTTAAATGTAGAGACACTGACTTCACAAACATGAAGCACTTGGGTCTCAAAGGACTCAAGATTTCGAAAAGTCATCAGATTACAACAGGCTTCACTCAGGTCCCGGCCCCATGAGTGGAGGCCCTGTCCGAGAGTTGTGTGCCTTTACCCTAAAAGAAGCTATACATGGAGACTAGTGGTCAGTCACTGCTTATAAAAAGTAAAAATGACAGTTTCAAAAGCTGACATTATAAGTCTCTCTTACTAAGCTCCCACTGTCTACAGACTGAAGGGAATGGAATTCAAGTCTTCTAAAAGAGTATCCTGAATTGTGGCCATACCTTTCAGCCAGCCAGGATAAATTTGGTAGTGATCATGGCTCCAAATAATGGATTTCTGTGTTCCTATTTCCAATGGTAATATAAACTTACAATTTATATATTTCTTCCCTCCTTCCTGGCAGAAGGAATCTACCTTTTCTTGTATTGATCTGAACTACACAAACCTGACATAAATTATTACTTAAAACAAACTTTCGTTAATACTGGATCATTTCGGTGACCACAAATTATGCAGTATTTTCCTATTTCCTTTGTGTTTTCCATGGGTAGTGATTCGCCATTTTAGTTTGGTCACAGTTTAATAGGGTATCTAAGGCAGCAGAATGAAGGCCTTAGCATCTACAGCTTGGACAAAAGGGTCTCATCCAGTTCAAACCCCAACTTGAGTAAGATGGTGCTTGTTATGCTAGCCCTTTATTCATATGGCTTTAGGAACTATAGATCTCCCTCCTCCAAGTCACCACGAACCACCATAAACTATAAAGCCTAGATTTCCTGTCCTACTAAAACACTTGACAAGAAAATGGAAATTTTGCTAGTTAGACATAAAAGCTGGGGCTTTGGTAGTAGAACGTATTCTTTTAAGAATCATTTTTAGCCATTGTATACCAAAGACTTACGGACAACAACAGCAGTCTTTTGCTTCATCCTTTTGAATCCCATGGTCCCGTTCCATTGCGTCAACCACAATTATCTCCTTTAGCAATACTTTTTGTATTTACTCCAGTGTTTCTTTTTTAAAAAAATCTTATATTGCTATGTTTCTGATTTCCCATATTTTTAGACACTATCCACACCCACTCATTTCTTTTCACTCCATCTTCCCAGTTTAGTTACATCTGACCTTCTAGTTGTGTCAACCAACAGGGTTTGTATTATTATGACTATGTAAACAAATGTGACTCACAGTAACGTAATAAGTATATTCTGGCAATGCTTCCTTGGGTTTTATTCCCTCCTAGAATAATAACTGGTGTTGAGTCCTAGCGTGGCACTGTAAGATCAGCACTGGTTTGCTAACCACAAGGTCAATGGTTCAATGTCACCAGGCGCTCCTCAGAAACTGTATACAGAGTCACTATGAGGTGGAACCGACATGACGGCACTTAACAACAACAACAACAACAAGTGGGTTATTAATCAAGGAACCCTGATGACTCAGTGGGTTACATTTTGGGCTGTGAACTGCAAGGCACTGCGTGAGAGAAAAAGCAGGCTTTCTGCTCCAGTGAAGATTTATAGCCTTGGAAGCTCGATATAGCATCACTGTGAGCTGGAACCAACTCAATGGCACACAGCCAGCCAGCTAGTCAGGGTTGTTAACTGCATTGTTTGGGTTTCTCTCTGTTCTTTTTGTCTGTGATCATCCTTGATTGTTTCTTATTGTTCAACCAGATCTGCCATATTATCTATGGTAGTTTTTTTTTGAGTGCTCAAAGGAGCCTTGGTAGCATAGTGGGTTACATGTTGGGCTGCTAATCATAAAGTCAGCAGTTCAAATCCACCAGCCACACCATGGGAGAAAAATGAGGCTCTCTGCTCCCGTAAAGATTTACAACCTCTGGAACCCTATACAGGGTAGCTATGTGTCAGAACCAATTTGACGGCACACAACCACGACCACCAAAGGCATTTGATAATCCATCAGTGTTTTGTTTTATTTTGGTTTTTCTCCCTTAAGATTGGCTGGAAAATGTAACCAAATTATCTGATGGGATCTTCATTTCCTTCCTTCAATATGGGAAAATTGAAGAATGGATAGAACAAATGCACCCAATCAACAAGAAGCAGGAAAAATCATTTGAAGCCTATCATCACAAAACCATTGGGATAAAAGAGAAGATTGCAAAAGTGTCCAGAAAGAAAGGAAAGAGACAGAATTGGTTCAAAGAATAAGAATGAAGAATGACATAAGCTTTTCACCAGCAACATTTGATGTTGGAAGATAACTAGAATGTGGTCTCAGAAGGAAGACTATTTTCAACTAAAAATTTTGTAGTCAAACTCTTAATCAATCACATGTGGTTAGAAGAAATCCATTTATTTGAAGTGATCCCACAACAGAAAAGAATAAAATGAGAAAGAGGAAGACTTTAAATAGGGGAAACAAGGAAAACAATACAGGATTTCTGAGGAACAACTGTCAAATTTGAACCATCGACCTTGTGGCTAGCAGTTAAATGCTTATCCTATAGTGCTTCATATAGGGAGTGATGACAGTTGTGAACCACATTGGCTGGACACTCCTGGATTCTTGTTCTATTTTCTTTGTTCTCTTGCCCTAAAGCTGATTAATCTGGTATTGTCTCCTGTGAGAGATCTTATAAATATCTTATTTTTCCCGGCTTATTTTACAATTATTTCTCTTCTACTGTCATTGTGATTTTCTCTACTTTGTTTCCCACCCTTCTATATATTTTTACATGTGGCAGTTTTGTTTTTTTGTTTTTTTTTTAATTTCTGAAACCTCTTGTTCTCTGTTCCTTTTTCATGGTACCTTGCTCTTATTTAACAGAGGTAATATTTTTTTCTTACATCTTTAAGGGCATTGATGGTAATTTTTCAAAAGATTTTTTGTTCTGTATTTTTAGGGAACATTTATTGTAGGTTCCATTTTTCTTTTGTTGGTCTTAGAGGTTTAAAGAGGGACTAAAAATGAATTACAAAACAGTTTCTACAACTGGGCTGAAATTGTTCTGCAAAAATGGAGACGTATTCAGGTAAACCTAATTTCCCCCACCTCTTCCATATTATGAAAAAGATACAGAAAATTCAAGGTTCATTAGAAAAGCAAATAGGAATATGATGACAAGAATGAGTTTAATTAAATCACTTAAAAATGACTAGTGACTAGGTACCTATGCGATTACATTTAAAAAAAAAATGATCTCTGAAAACATGGGAGTAGAGGGGAATTTTAAAACAAACTTATCAACAGAAGAATAGTATATCATAAGGCACTAAGTAAGATTGCATCCTTGAATTAATAAAAAGTTTTAATTGTATGCTAAATTGTCCAGTCAGATTTTATAAAATGAACTGTAATAAATACTTTTTAAATGTAAATTATGTTTTTGCATACTTTTTCCAATTCTTATTTAACTTTCTTTCCTTTTAAACCAGTGAATTTATGTCGGAAACTAATGGATGTCTGTGAGGAATAGCTTTTAATTACAGAAATGACCACAGCTGGTCACAAAATGCTACCAAACGGAAAGTTTAATACAATTTCTTTCTCTGCCTACCATGGTATTAAATAAAAATTTACAAATGTTAATCTTTTCCCACTCATGTCTTCTAACCACTGCCTCCTAGGTGCCTTTCTAAAGGGCCTTATGAAAGTCATAGTGGCAAACTTACAGAGTCACAGGATTCCTTGCTCATTTGTCACCAGGGGCTATCAACATTTTAATGGATGGGACACTGGTGTTTGGTAGTGCTAAGTCCTTGCGCTGCCCTAACCTAGTGTTTATGTAGATCATCATGTCTGCCAGACCTAAGGATAATTTTTCATTGTTAAGTATAAAAATTTTTAAATGTGGCCTTTATGTACATCAGATCCTAAGGGCCCATAATCAACTTGAGATATATGGTCCATATTGAGCTGCTACTGGATTAGAATAGCAGAGGGTTTATGCAGATACGAAATCACTGGTAAAATGATTAGGACAGGAAAGCAAAAATGCTTAGGTTTTGAAATAAAATAATGATGATATAATGAAAATCAATCCATTTATCAAAAAGTGATAAATATTTATTGAATGAATCCATGAATATAAATCATCAAAATAGAAAGTTATCACTCTTAGATTTGACCTACTTTCTTGTGGCTTCTTTTGGTATTTTACTTACTAGCAACCTAGCTATTTTAAATGGCAAAAATTATCAGATTTAATGTATAATGCTCCAGGGCCATGGGAAACTGAAGAGATAATTATCTAAATAAAATCCATTTGAGCCATATAGATTTGGAAAAAACTACAATTTGAAAGAAAGACAAAAAATGAAAACAAAAGAATCCCAATCAATACACATATTTATCTAATATTAATTGGGCACTTACTATGTGTCAAGTACTATTAGTGTACCAAGGAAAAAGTGGTGAACAACTTAAATGTGTTCCTATCCTCACGGATATCCTCATAGAGAAAATAATCAAAATTATCCAAATAAAAAATAACTCTACGATGATTGTAACAAGAAGCCTTTTAAAGGAAAATTGTAACTATTAACAGAAATTCCATTTAAAACTGTAAGTTCAACTACCTATAAGTTGAAACTTGAAGAACAAGCGCAGTAGGAAAGTGGGAGGGGTCATGGTAGGAGATGGCATCCTAGACCAATAAACTCATGCCTTACTGATGTTGCTGATGATATCTTATCAACATTCACTGAGTGAAATCTAGCAGATACTGATATTTGTATCCCTACTCTTTGAATGATTCCTGAATAGTTCTATGCAAATATTTTTAACTTTTTTGATGATTTAGATTTTGTTTTGACAATACCCAACTTCCTTTATCCATTCATCCAGTGTGACTAGTGAACACCAAACAAATAAACAGTGTATGCTTAATTCAGATTTTTGTTTGAGTTGATATATTTTAAGCTCTTCGGAGAAGTATAAGGTCTAAAAAGAAAGGATTTCACGCATATATTTTTTTAGTAAATTGTACATAATTATAAAAGCACTTACAGCCATTATTTATGGGAGTGGGCTGCAACAAATTCAGGGAAATATCCCATTATCTTTTAGTTCCAGATATCCATGAACTTTCTGAATCCCCCTCATATGACTAATAATGAAAAATTTCACAAGCTCACAACATGAACATTACTATCATGTACGGGCTTTATGCATAATTCTTTCCATGAATTGCTTTTTCTTAAGCCCAATTAAAAAATTGGTAAAGGGCTTCATTACTTACAGTTCAAGTATGAAAATCGTGGACTAGACAGGAAGCTACTGTGGCCCTGCCAAGAGGATGAATGATCTAATCCATGAGCATGGGAACCTTCAGGAACAATTTTGTCAGCCTAAGGGAGAGAGAGTGGCATTTCAGTTCAATGGTTATAAAATGTAAGGACCAGAAGTCATTTTAATTGTAGTAAAACTGAAACTGAACGTTGACATACAAGCCATGTTGCACATGACAATTTGACAGAAATGTAGCCCTTGTAAAAATAAAATATGAGCATGTTTAAAAAAAAATATGCAAAAGAAGGACAGGAAAAGGAAAAAAAAAAAAATCACCCATGACTACTTGAGCATGACATAGTTCTTTCCAGTCTTTCTTTTCTATTGGTAGCACATTAAAACATATTTATAAAATTCTGGGTTCTTTATTTATTTACATTAATGATGTAAGTATTTTTAAAGTCATTTTATTATCCTAACCTTTAGTTTAAGGATTATTCACATACTATCCCATGGACATACTATGCTTTATTCACTACCTTACCAGACATTAAGGTGGTTTCCAGTCTTTTCCTGTTATAAATAACACTGAGAGAAATATCTTTAAATAGAAAACCCTTTCCATATTTAGGATTATTCCTTATGAGGAATTTCTATAAGTGGATATACTGGGTCAGTAAAAACGATTTGATATTTAAAAATTATATTTAGCTAGACTGTTTTCCATAATGATTATATTAATCCTTTTACTCATTCAACAAATATTTAATACATAAACACAAATGAACATACACAAGGTCCCTTTTCTCATAGGTGGTATGAGCTAACCTATTCTCGAAGCAGAAAATGGAAATTAAAACTTTAAATACATTTACTAATTAAATAGGTATTTTCATATATTTTGAAAAACATTCAAATAGTGATTTTGTTCTTAATGACCTTCTTCCAATTTTAACTACACTTCTTTTTTTTCTTTCTTTCACTCACTCAATCATTCATTGAACAATAATTTGTTGGGCACCCACTATGTGGCATGTAATGAACAAACATGATTGTACTGAACACAACCCTGCCTTCATGAATCTTTTAGACCTGTAGAAGAAAAGGGCAAGAAACAAACAACACGAAACATAATTCAATTAAAAACTAAAATAAGGACTATAAAGGAGAAGAACAAGGAATAAAAGAAAAAATAGAATTTAGATTTGGGGTCCACAGAAGGCCTGTCTGGTAGGTGATATTTAAACCAAGAATTGAAAGCTGAGTATAAATTACTAAACCAGTCAGACACCATTTTTCAAAGGAAGGGGCTTTAAGGGAAGAATGGAGATAGATAGTCACGTCCAAACTCTTGAGAAGGTGTTGAGGTGAGAGAAAGTTTGATGCATTTAAAGAAACGAAGGAAGGTTCCGGGCCTTAAGTATATTAGCCCTAGAGGAAGTAGCTAGGATGAAGTCAGTAAGTGGACAAAGGCCATGTTTAGGGTTTAGAATTCTTTTCCTTAAATCCAACCAGGAAGCAATCAAGAGTTTTAAGAAGAGGAGTGACATGCTTCATATTTTTCAGAGTATTTTTCTCTCTGTGCAGAGAACAGATTGTATGAAAACAAATGTCAAAGTGGGAATACTATTTCATAGGATATAACTGCAAATAAATGTGGACCAAGGTAAAGGACAATATCAAGAATGTCCAAAGATTCCAGATGAAACAACTATAAGAAAGGTTGTCCAAAACATGATGTCACATAAAATATGACCTCATGTAAGCAAACCAAAAGGGAAGAACACACACAGCATTACTTAAACTGAAATAACTGAGGAAAAAATTGCAAACCTCGACTTGCAATACTGAAGGATTCTATGGATAAAATATTGAATGATGCAGCAAGCATCAAAAGATGGAAGAAGGAAGAACAAACAAGATGGCAGATCGGGTGGAAGTGCAGTAAAGGAGCTCCACCAGCAACAACACAGAATACCCAAACAAACAGGCTCAAGGGATGGTTCCAGAACTCTGAATCATTTATAAAGGAATATTTATAAGGTTGGAAGACTTTACAGCTGGGGGAATTTTTGGCAGAGGCAACAAATCCATTGCTTTCTAATTCAAGATGGTCAAATTCGAGACGCTTGAGGAGCCATCTTGGCTGAGACCAAGCGGGGGAAGGATCGGGGCAGCCACAGACGCCTGGCAGAACTGCAGAGATAAAGGTGTGAACAGTCTTCTCTTTTGGAAACTGTTCATTGTTCCCTTGCTGTCTGTGCACCTCCATTCAGGTGATTATAGGGGTGCCTGAGCTAGGGGGCACCCCAGCCCCACCCTCAGAGGGTTCTACTACGCATGCGCACAGATCTCCCTGAAATTTAAAGAGACAGTTTCCAATTAAAAACAAATGGCCACAGCCCGCCCTGAACTGTTTACAACTAGAAAAAAGGCCTTAATGGGGATTGTGGAGTGGGACAAGCAGACAAAAAAGGAAATAGTACAAAAATTAAATCCTAAGTTATGTCAAACCGACCAACAGTGGCATCTTGAAATTTCTCAAAAAGAAGAGTGAAAAGGGAAGCCCATTTCCTGATCACATCTACCTGGAGACATTCAGAAAGCCTAAAAAATACCAAAATACATACCCATCTGAGTATTAAGGGCACTGATAACCCCTGAATATGTAAAAAAAACAGAAGTAGATGACCATATCTGCACATGTCCAGAAATGAGATAAAGTGACTGAGGCAAATGAGCTGGAAGGAGACCTACACTCCATACTGGAAGAAGGGTAGGCTTTGGAAATGCGTGAGAAGGAATTCAGAAAAATGATTATAAAATGTATCAAAACACTAGACTAAGGAGTTGAGAAAAATAAGGAAGAAGTCAGGAAAGCGCTACAGGAACAATCAAATAAGATAGATACAGCATTGGAAACAATTCAAAATCTATAGAAAGAGGTCCAAACGATTAATAATAGAATATCAGAAATGGACATTACACTGAAAGGGCAAAGGAGTAGAATTGAAGAGATAGAAGCCAGAACTAATGAGCTAGAAGATAAATCTCTCAGCACTACTAAAATAGAAGAACAAACACAAAAAAGAATTTAAAAAAATCTGAAGAAGGTCTAAGATTCATGTTGGACAACATGAAGAGGAATAACTTAAGAATTATTGGTATTCCAGAACAGGAACAATCACACAAGTCCACAGAGGAGATAGTTGAAGAGCTTCTGGAAGAAAATTTTCCTAACATCATAAAAAGTGAAAAGATAAGCATTCAAGAAGCTCAACGAACCCCAGGAAGGACAATCACCAAGACATATAATAATCAAGCTTTCCAAAATCAAAGATAAGCACAGGATCTTGAAAGCAGCTGGGTAAAAGAGAAATATAACATACAAAGGCAAGCAAATCAGATTAAGCTCAGATTTCTCAACAGAAACCATGCAGGCAAGAAGGAAATGGGAAGACATTTATAAAAGCCTGAAAGAAAAAAACTGCCACCCAAGAATCCTCTACCCAGCAAAGCTGTCAATCAAATATGACGGTGTAATCAAAACATTCCAGAATAAACAGAAGCTACGGGATTTTGCCAAAGCCAACCCTGCTATGAAAAACATCCTAAAGGAAGTTCTGTGGACTGAGAACCAACAAGAACAGACAACAACTACAGGATGATGTATGTGGCAGCATCACCCTGAACTTAATCAACAAATGGAAGAGTCAAGAACAGAATAAAATTATAAGAACAGAGGATCTGGGAGGTCAGTCTATGATTCAAAACAATTACAATGTGAAAAAAGGTAAACACAGAGGAACAGAGATCTAGGTGGTGATAAATTCAGGTAGATTACTGGATAAAATAGACTGTCTTAAATGGAGGGAAGAACTAATGGAATATAAGGTAACCACAATGGGGTTGGAGTGGGGGGTGTACTTTGGGTGTTGGGGAGGGCAATACAAGAAGTGGGGAGGAGGCAGAAGAGCAGGATAGATATGGGAACACTGAGACAGGTTTGCATGCCCTAGTGGGACAGAGGTAAATAGTGACACATACTCAACCTTGGAACAACAGGGCTCTGGGATACAGGGATCTATGTATAGCTTGAAGAGGGTAAATAATACTAAAATCCTTGACTGCCTTATGAATATTAGTTTCCCTTGCCTACTATTGTAAAATAGACACTTGAGTGGGATAGAAAGGAATGTTGGGAAACATGATTAGAGAAAACTTGTAAGCCTGCCTTCAGCCTATAACTGATTGGAATACCTAAAAGGGATTCTAAAACTTGCCCAGTGACATAGGCCTCATGCAAAGCCTTTACAGAGTATAGGACCTTAGGTGGAATCCTGAGTCCCATCCACAACCTTATAAGGTGAGACATTCCCACTGGAAAGGACAAGCAGACTGGAACAGCTACAGTGACAAATAATGCATCTTCATGATGAACCTGACCTATACTCAGAGCGGTAGTTACTCTAAATACCAACAGAGAGGGAAAGAGTCTGCAAATCAAGTTTCAATGCTATCCACTCTGTACACAGGGTAGATAGGAACGGGCAACTTAGACATTGACTACCTAAAATAAGGGGGCAATAAAGTCACGAAGTGACTGGCTTCTAAGGTTTCAAGAGGGAGTTTAGTGTGGAAAGAAAGAGTCCCCACTGAATAGAGTTGGGGATAAGATTGGTAAGATTCAATAGTGAATAACTGTTATCATGACTAATCACGACTGTCACAATTGTAAAGGTAGAAGTTTTGTAACAAAAAAAGGGGAGAGGTTAATCTTACAGTCCAGAAACAGAGGACCCTAGACCATCAAGAGAGGAACGCACAAGCAGAGTGCGGGACCTTATCCAGAGAAGCAGCGCCAGAGATGGGGGCATGGAGATGGGGAGCGGCTGAGGACTCTAGATTCATAGACTAAGAAGAGAAGGACTAAGACCTGGTGGCCAGGAGCAGACTTGCAGGATGTGCCCTTTGGAGATGTAAATTATTATATATGCCTGAGTGGGTTTTTTTGTTTGTGTGTTTTTTAAAAAGCTAACGTGGATAGAGAAAAATACTGTTAACTGATGGTACATGGAGGGGATTATAATCAATGTAATGAAACAAGGTATATGATTTG